TTCATCTGGCGAATTCATGAAGGCTCGAATTGCGATCCCTGAAGGATTCACTGGCGAATTCCCTGCCTGGAATAAGACGGGTCTTCGCGAATCCACGCAATTTTCTTTCTGGCCGCCCGCACCCCTCGCGGGTCATCTGTCATGGCCAGATTCAGCATATTGCGGCTGGTGCGAAGCGAGGCAGGAAACTCCATCCCATCCGCCAAACAAGAGTGAATCGAAAAGAGTGCTCTCCTGGACTCTCCAACAACTGTCTTCAGCATGCCTCGCTGACATCTAACTTTGTGGCACACAGCGAATGGAAGATCGCAATATGCAACGGTGCATTTAGTAACTTAGAACAGTCAACGGGGGAGCACGATCTGGCCAGCGGACAAGTTATGATTTCCGTATCCACAGGAAACCAACGCAACAAAAGAAACGAAGTTGTCACAGCCTCGGTGCTCCCTCCGTGATTCATAAATCTTTTTGTTGGGCGCTGCGCTTTGGCATCGCGGGTCAGAAAAACTGGGCGGTGCCAAAACTTACTCTGCCAGCAAAGGCACCTGCCGACTATTCAGCTGCTGGCGATTCATGGTTCCAAGGCATGCTCCAGTGCCTGCGACGCGGATCAGTGGGGACCCGCTTGGCAACGTGGTGGCTTTTTCGGAGTGGTAGCGAACATTTCGCCAACCCGCGAGCAGTGGCGAAAGTTCGTTTGGTTTCCCCCCCGGTATAGCCCGGCCTAGGACCAGGCCCAGCAGGGCCAGGGCCAGCTGCCGGCTGTCAGGGCTGAAGCTAAACCTTCCCAGGCGACACTGGAGGGAGCCGGACAAGCCCAGCTTCACCGGGACCTCCGAAGTGGCGTCGGGAGAACTTGGCCCCTGCGGCTTCCTCGTGCAAAGGGGCGCGAGCGGAGGGAAACCGCGTCATTGCCAAGGGGGACTAAGGGATGTAGGTTTAACCTTCACCCAAATCTGTCGGCCAAATATGATATGCTCGGTTCGGCGTCGTGTTTAGTCAACCCATATTGTAAAACCGTTTTGGAGGACACCCCAAATACAGGCTCCCTTTCGCAAGATAGACGGGATTATGGGGAAAAAAAAGAGCAGTAGAACGCATCGATTTTCTAGTCAAACTAACCGAGGACCCCAACTTGCTGCCTCGTTTTCAGTTAAGTCACAATCAAGACCCGGTACAAAAATGGTCGACCCAGAAGCATGCTTCAAGAACCAAGAAGGCGGATATCCGCAGCTATTTGTGGTTGGGATCGGCCCTCACTAACCTTCACTTACTCGGGTTTTGAGCACGTGGCTCAAATGGCTTCAGATAGCTTCCCCATTCTTTCCAGCTATCCGAATCTTTCTGGAAAACCTCCTTTGAATCCCAGGGAGAACGGCCGGTTCTTAGAAAGAACGATGCTTGAAAAGAACGGAAAAAGGAATCAAACCCCTGGAAAATGGAATGGAATGGATTTCAATGGACAACTTCATGGACAAATGGGGACCACAAAACCGGGAAACGAGTGGACCCGCATGGATCCAGTCAACTTCCGGCGCCTGTGCAGTTCAAGGCTCGGCAGAGATCGCCGCAGCGCCGCGAAGCGCGGCACCCCCAGGCCGGTGGCTGGGTCCCAGCCGGGGATCGCCGGGAAGCCGAGGTCGCAGAGCTGCGTCTCGGTGGAGGCCGTGTCACCCACCACCACCTAAGTCTTGGCTCCAATTGGCTTGGAGCCCGGCGCAGGGGTTTCCACTCTGCCACTCTCCACTCCACCTAGTCGAAAACCCATGGCTCTAACTGGTGGTTTGGAGCCCGGCTTGGTGGTGAATGAGGGGTTTTCGCTTGCGATTCCCAAACCACCCATCCAAACCACCACATACTACCAATTGGGGGTCACCTGAGGCTTGTCCTTGCGTCAGGGAAAGCCTGCAAAACAGTCGGTGTCCTCTTGGTGTCCTTCAAAACAACGAGAAAAACGTGGTACCCTCAAAAAAGCCTGGTCACCCACAAAGAAGTGGACAGGAACCCTTTCTGAAAAGAACGAGGTCTTCCGAAAGGGTCCCAAAGGGGTCAGTAATTCCACTTCCATGCTTGTTGGTTCAAGGGTCTTGAGGTGACGCTAAGAAAAGGCAGATTTGCAGTGAGCTTCATGGCACACACTGACTGACCTGTAGAAGAAAGTCGGAGCTTCATTGCGCCTTCATACTGACTGACTTGCTGCGAAATCCAAACTACGTATATCTGTTTGCTCAAGGAATCGGACCGGGTCCCCAAAATCGCGCATTTGGGTTCTCCTCGTGGCTTCCCTTCAAAGCTACAAACAGGGGGTGCTCTCAATTGTCTGTTCCACTTCGTTTCCCTCTAAAACCTACAAAAGAAAGGATCGCGTTCCCTCAATTTGTTGGTCCACTTGGTTTCCCTCACCAAAGAAAGGATCGCGTTCCCTCAAATTGTTGGTCCACTTGGTTTCCCTCTAAAGCCTACAAAAGAAAGGATCGCGTTCCCTCAATTTGTTGGTCCACTTGGTTTCCCTCACCAAAGAAAGGATCGAGTTCCCTCAATTTGTTGGTCCACTTGGTTTCCCTCTAAAGCCTACAAAAGAAAGGATCGCGTTCCCTCAATTTGTTGGTCCACTTGGTTTCCCTCACCAAAGAAAGGATCGCGTTCCCTCAATTTGTTGGTCCACTTGGTTTCCCTCTAAAGCCTACAAAAGAAAGGATCGCGTTCCCTCAATTTGTTGGTCCACTTGGTTTCCCTCTAAAACCTACAAAAGAAAGGATCGCGTTCCCTCAATTTGTTGGTCCACTTGGTTTCCCTCTAAACCTACAAAGGAAAGGATCGCGTTCCCTCAATTTGTTGGTCCACTTGGCTTCCCTCACCAAAGAAAGGATCGAGTTCCCTCAATTTGTTGGTCCACTTGGTTTCCCTCTAAAGCCTACAAAAGAAAGGATTGCGTTCCCTCAATTTGTTGGTCCACTTGGTTTCCCTCACCAAAGAAAGGATCGAGTTCCCTCAATTTGTTGGTCCACTTGGTTTCCCTCTAAAGCCTACAAAAGAAAGGATCGCGTTCCCTCAATTTGTTGGTCCACTTGGCTTCCCTCACCAAAGAAAGGATCGAGTTCCCTCAATTTGTTGGTCCACTTGGTTTCCCTCTGAAGCCTACAAAAGAAAGGATCGCGTTCCCTCAATTTGTTGGTCCACTTGGTTTCCCTCACCAAAGAAAGGATCGTGTTCCCTCAATTTGTTGGTCCACTTGGTTTCCCTCTAAAGCCTACAAAAAAAAGGATCGCGTTCCCTCAATTTGTTGGTCTACTTGGTTTCCCTCACCAAAGAAAGGATCGAGTTCCCTCAATTTGTTGGTCCACTTGGTTTCCCTCTAAAGCCTACAAAAGAAAGGATCGCGTTCCCTCAATTTGTTGGTCCACTTGGTTTCCCTCACCAAAGAAAGGATCGAGTTCCCTCAATTTGTTGGTCCACTTGGTTTCCCTCTAAAGCCTACAAAAGAAAGGATCGCGTTCCCTCAATTTGTTGGTCCACTTGGTTTCCCTCACCAAAGAAAGGATCGAGTTCCCTCAAATTGTTGGTCCACCTGGTTTCCCTTTAAAGCCTACAAAAGAAAGGATCGCGTTCCCTCAATTTGTTGGTCCACTTGGTTTCCCTCACCAAAGAAAGGATCGAGTTCCATCAATTTGTTGGTCCACTTGGTTTCCCTCTAAAGCCTACAAAAGAAAGGATCGCGTTCCCTCAATTTGTTGGTCCACTTGGTTTCCCTCTAAAACTACAAAAGAAAGGATCGCGTTCCCTCAATTTGTTGGTCCACTTGGTTTCCCTCTAAACCTACAAAAGAAAGGATCGCGTTCCCTCAATTTGTTGGTCCACTTGGCTTCCCTCACCAAAGAAAGGATCGAGTTCCCTCAATTTGTTGGTCCACTTGGTTCCCTCTTACTAAAAACACGAGACTCCTTCAAAAATAGCAAGGGTGCCCTCAATTTTCTGTTCCACTTGGTTTCCCTCTAAAGCCTACAAAAGAAAGGATCGCGGTCCCTCAATTTGTTGGTCCACTTGGTTTCCCTCTAAAGCCTACAAAAGAAAGGATCGCGTTCCCTCAATTTGTTGGCCCACTTGGTTTCCCTCTAAAGCCTACCGCGTTCCCTCACCAAAAGAAAGGATCGAGTTCCCTCAATTTGTTGGTCCACTTGGTTTCCCTCAAACTACTAAAAAGAAAGGATCGAGTTCCCTCAATTTGTTGGTCCACTTGGTTTCCCTCTAAAACCTACAAAAGAAAGGACCGCGTGCCCTCAATTGTCTGTTCCACTTGGTTTCTCTCTAAAACCTACAAAAGAAAGGATCGCGTTCCCTCAATTTGTTGGTCCACTTGGTTTCCATCTAAAGCCTACAAAAGAACGGATCGCGTTCCCTCAATTTGTTGGTCCACTTGGTTTCCCTCTAAACCTACAAAAGAAAGCATCGAGTTCCCTCAATTTGTTGGTCCACTTGGTTTCCCTCTCAAACTACAAAAGAAAGGATCGAGTTCCCTCAATTTGTTGGTCCACTTGGCTCCCTCTAAAACTACTAAAAACACGAGACTCCTTCAAAAATAGCAAGGGTGCCCTCAATTTTCTGTTCCACTTGGTTTCCCTCTAAAGCCTACAAAAGAAAGGATCGCGGTCCCTCAATTTGTTGGTCCACTTGGTTTCCCTCTAAAGCCTACAAAAGAAAGGATCGCGTTCCCTCAATTTGTTGGCCCACTTGGTTTCCCTCTAAAGCCTACAAAAGAAAGGATCGCGTTCCCTCAATTTGTTGGTCCACTTGGTTTCCCTCTAAAGCCTACAAAAAAAAGGATCGAGTTCCCTCAATTTGTTGGTCCACTTGGTTTCCCTCACCAAAGAAAGGATCGAGTTCCCTCAATTTGTTGGTCCACTTGGTTTCCCTCTAAAACTACAAAAGAAAGGATCGAGTTCCCTCAATTTGTTGGTCCACTTGGTTTCCCTCTAAAACCTACAAAAGAAAGGACCGCGTGCCCTCAATTGTCTGTTCCACTTGGTTTCTCTCTAAAACCTACAAAAGAAAGGATCGCGTTCCCTCAATTTGTTGGTCCACTTGGTTTCCATCTAAAGCCTACAAAAGAACGGATCGCGTTCCCTCAATTTGTTGGTCCACTTGGTTTCCCTCTAAACCTACAAAAGAAAGCATCGAGTTCCCTCAATTTGTTGGTCCACTTGGTTTCCCTCACTACAAAAGAAAGGATCGAGTTCCCTCAATTTGTTGGTCCACTTGGTTTCCCTCTAAAGCCTACAAAAGAAAGGATCGCGTTCCCTCAATTTGTTGGTCCACTTGGTTTCCCTCACAAAAGAAAGGATCGCGTTCCCTCAATTTGTTGGTCCACTTGGTTTCCCTCACCAAAGAAAGGATCGTGTTCCCTCAATTTGTTGGTCCACTTGGTTTCCCTCTAAAGCCTACAAAAAAAAGGATCGCGTTCCCTCAATTTGTTGGTCTACTTGGTTTCCCTCACCAAAGAAAGGATCGAGTTCCCTCAATTTGTTGGTCCACTTGGTTTCCCTCTAAAGCCTACAAAAGAAAGGATCGCGTTCCCTCAATTTGTTGGTCCACTTGGCTTCCCTCACCAAAGAAAGGATCGAGTTCCCTCAATTTGTTGGTCCACTTGGTTTCCCTCTGAAGCCTACAAAAGAAAGGATCGCGTTCCCTCAATTTGTTGGTCCACTTGGTTTCCCTCACCAAAGAAAGGATCGTGTTCCCTCAATTTGTTGGTCCACTTGGTTTCCCTCTAAAGCCTACAAAAAAAAGGATCGCGTTCCCTCAATTTGTTGGTCTACTTGGTTTCCCTCACCAAAGAAAGGATCGAGTTCCCTCAATTTGTTGGTCCACTTGGTTTCCCTCTAAAGCCTACAAAAGAAAGGATCGCGTTCCCTCAATTTGTTGGTCCACTTGGTTTCCCTCACCAAAGAAAGGATCGAGTTCCCTCAATTTGTTGGTCCACTTGGTTTCCCTCTAAAGCCTACAAAAGAAAGGATCGCGTTCCCTCAATTTGTTGGTCCGCGTTCCCTCAATTTGTTGGTCCACTTGGTTTCCCTCACCAAAGAAAGGATCGAGTTCCATCAATTTGTTGGTCCACTTGGTTTCCCTCTAAAGCCTACAAAAGAAAGGATCGCGTTCCCTCAATTTGTTGGTCCACTTGGTTTCCCTCTAAAACTACAAAAGAAAGGATCGCGTTCCCTCAATTTGTTGGTCCACTTGGTTTCCCTCTAAACCTACAAAAGAAAGGATCGCGTTCCCTCAATTTGTTGGTCCACTTGGCTTCCCTCACCAAAGAAAGGATCGAGTTCCCTCAATTTGTTGGTCCACTTGGTTCCCTCTTACTAAAAACACGAGACTCCTTCAAAAATAGCAAGGGTGCCCTCAATTTTCTGTTCCACTTGGTTTCCCTCTAAAGCCTACAAAAGAAAGGATCGCGGTCCCTCAATTTGTTGGTCCACTTGGTTTCCCTCTAAAGCCTACAAAAGAAAGGATCGCGTTCCCTCAATTTGTTGGCCCACTTGGTTTCCCTCTAAAGCCTACAAAAGAAAGGATCGCGTTCCCTCAATTTGTTGGTCCACTTGGTTTCCCTCTAAAGCCTACAAAAAAAAGGATCGAGTTCCCTCAATTTGTTGGTCCACTTGGTTTCCCTCACCAAAGAAAGGATCGAGTTCCCTCAATTTGTTGGTCCACTTGGTTTCCCTCTAAAACTACAAAAGAAAGGATCGAGTTCCCTCAATTTGTTGGTCCACTTGGTTTCCCTCTAAAACCTACAAAAGAAAGGACCGCGTGCCCTCAATTGTCTGTTCCACTTGGTTTCTCTCTAAAACCTACAAAAGAAAGGATCGCGTTCCCTCAATTTGTTGGTCCACTTGGTTTCCATCTAAAGCCTACAAAAGAACGGATCGCGTTCCCTCAATTTGTTGGTCCACTTGGTTTCCCTCTAAACCTACAAAAGAAAGCATCGAGTTCCCTCAATTTGTTGGTCCACTTGGTTTCCCTCTCAAACTACAAAAGAAAGGATCGAGTTCCCTCAATTTGTTGGTCCACTTGGCTCCCTCTAAAACTACTAAAAACACGAGACTCCTTCAAAAATAGCAAGGGTGCCCTCAATTTTCTGTTCCACCGGGTTTCCCTCTAAAACCTACAAAAGAAAGGATCGCGTTCCCTCAATTTGTTGGTCCACTTGGTTTCCCTCACCAAAGAAAGGATCGCGTTCCCTCAATTTGTTGGTCCACTTGGTTTGCCACCCAAGCCATTCCTGCGGGGGCACAGGTTCGGTGTGGTTTGTGGCACTCTGGTGATTCAGCGTGGCTTCTGCAGTTTGATGGCTCAGGACAGCGTGATGGGCTGGCTGGTGGCGCGGGGTGGGTTCTGTACCAGGTAGGAGCAGACAACATGGCCGCTGTCGATTGGGGTGCCATTCCCATCGCTCCTTGCAGTGATAATCTTGTTGCTGAGGCTATTGGCCTGGATGCTGGACTCCGGGCCGCTCTGGCGCACCCCTCTAAAACCTACAAAAGAAAGGATCGCGTTCCCTCAATTTGTTGGTCCACTTGGCTTCCCTCTAAAGCCTACAAAAGAAAGGATCGCGTTCCCTCAATTTGTTGGTCCACTTGGTTTCCCTCTAAAACTACCAAAAAGGGGGTCGTCCCTTCCAAAAAAAGGCCAAGGACTCCCTCTGGCATGCCGCCCCGGCACATCGAGAAAGGCTTCAGGGTGGTCCCGGTGCACCTGGGGCCGGGTGAACTGAGCTCCGCGTGTTCTCTCTGAAGGGAGCTGGGGCTGTACTTCCTCCAGATTTGAGAGGATAGAATTTGGTACCCGATGTGTTTCTGTAGTCTATCTCCAGTAGAGAGGTTAGAATAAGGGGACCAACTCTTGTCTTTTTGGTCTATTTTAGTACGCGAACCCTCCCCCAAAAAAAGGGGCGAGAAAGGGCACTGCTGGGGGACCTCGTGTATGTTCTTGAACGACGAGCCGAATGGACCCGACTTTCCGACGGTGAGCCGAATGGGCACGGCCTTTTGAGGCTGGCCCCGTCGGATGGTGTTCAAAGGGTGGCCCCAGAAGGAAAACCACCCCTTTGGCGGGGTCCGACCGCTGAAAGAAGCAAGTGGATTCAGAAGGGTTTTGGAAGACGTAAGACGTGTCTCGCAAAGGCCCCGGGGAAGCTTGATCCTCGCGTGAACCTGAAGAACCAGGCGCCCCAAACCCCCAGCGCCCATGGAAAACAGGGGCACACTCTTTTGGCTCGGGTTTTTTTCGGGGTGTCCCCCCCTCCCCTTGCCAAAAAGAAAAGTCGGCCAAACTTGTGTTTGCCTCTTCATCGTTTTCTGGCTGGTCAAAACTACGGTAAACCCAACATGGAACCCTGGTAAACAGAAAACATGGAATAAACCCTGCGGTCCATATCCGGATGGTTTCATTTTGACCGGTACCCTTTCCATGGCTGGTCAAAAAACTAGGGCAAACCCAAAATGGGTCGGAAAAAACCTGGAGTGCACCCTGCAGTGCATATCCTGGTACATTTTCCGGCAAACCCAGCATGGGTCGGAGAAAAAACAAGAAAGTCTGGAGCACACCCAAAGCGGTTTTCCCTCGGCGCCTGGTAGAGCCAAGGGTTCAGCAGCCCCAGGGCCGGCCGCCCGCGTCGCAGCTGCTCCGCGTTGAGCAGCGACACCAGCGCCGCCAGCGCGGGGGCGGAGGCGGAGGTGCCGTCGAAGGCCACGGCGCTCTTGTTCACCAAGACCTGGGGGGGAGGTCCGAGATCCATCGCTTTGTCCGGGGGCGCGGGGGGAGGGGGGGAGGGACGGGGGGGGGGGGGACAGGGGGGGGGGGAGGGACAGGGGGGTGGGAGGCATCAACCCAACTGCCACCAGTTCAGGGTAACCTCATCACGTTCCGAAGGAAAGCTGGGTTGTTCTTGAAGGAAGCGAGCGATGGAAATTGTTGTCCGGAAAAAGCCGAAATACCGTCAAACACCACCAATTCAGGGTAACCTGATCATTTCGTTTCAAGCACGAATCGGAATCTCGAGGGAAGAAAACACATGCCTGGAACAAAAACATGTGGCGAGTCGCGTGATTTCCGGCTTCCCAATTGGTTTGGAGCCAAATCGGTGGTTTGGTGGTGAAGGAGGGGGTGGGTTCCCATTTAGCCTCTGCAAGAACCAGGGGGGTCAAATCCCCCAAACCGCCAAGCAACCTGATCATCTTCCCAAAGAACTTGCATTTTGCAAAGGGGAGAAAACACGTTTCTGAAACATTTGGTGAGTGCACATGTCCTCCACTTGGCAAATAATGGCCTTGCAAGTTGCAAAAGGTATATATTCATATCTCTGGCGTCTATGGAACCCTCAAAAAAACGTGGAGAAGACGGTCGCCAGGCAAAAAACAAAAAACGCCCGTCCCGCCGGGGCGCCGGGTAACTCTGCCCTGGCAGGGCCACATCCGGCGCAGCTCGGCTCTCCTGCAGCAGGGTGGCCAGGGAGCAGCCGCTGCCTTTGATGTGTTGGCAGGGGACCAAGGTCTCTGCCAGGCGCTCGGGGGACACGTAGCCTCGGTGGCAAACTCTGCTCGTCAAGGCGACGAATTCCCTCAGCCTTTTGGATTGCCCTTGGAACCATCCCACAAAAGCTTCAGAGCATGTTTCACTCACTTCCTATCTGGTTTTGTGAACTCGGTGGCTTTCTGCGAAGCCCGGCTAAAAGTTTCTTTTTTCTTTTAACTTTTAGACTTTTAGTGGCTTAATTCGGAAGACATCCAAAAGTTGGCAAACAGTTACACAAAGTCCTAAGATCCCTTGGCAAAATGCACCGAAGTAGCTGGCGTTGTTGATGGCGCAGGGCTTGCACCTCAAGCAAGCGACCCGCAAGCATGGCTCTTGGAGCAGGTATGAGTCAAAATTAAACAACCAGGATATGGACCGCAGGTTTTAGTCTATGTTTCCATTTGGGTTCTATTTTGGGGTTAGCCTACTGTTGACCCATACGCACATGCTTGTTGAGCTGCTTCTGATAGAACATCCTAGCCCAAATGGTACAATGTAGGGCTCGAATTTGGGCTCAGGTTGCGCCTGGAGGCGTTCAAGTAGGACTGCAGGGCGTGCAGTTGGTACTTGGGCCTGGGTCGCACAACGGTTCCCCGCTCCCCAAGAAGCGGAAGCCAACCAAAGCCAACCAACCTATATGCTGACATAAGCAAATGGCACGCACATGTAAACGCAACTGCTTCCAGGGGAATTTGTTTTTTGAGTGCCCCATCGTTTACCATGGTTTTGGGCATTTCCACAGCATCGATGAACCGCCGAATACTCAGCTCGACAAAAGCAACTCTAAGTTTGACCGTGCTTCGTGTACTTTTCCCGCCTCCCAGCTTCCGGTCGCCCAGCTCTTTCCACCCGACCCTCGCTCTCTCGCTCTCTGGCCATGCGATCCGACTTCCGAGGCCTGGGGCGGTAGATGCTGAAGTAGCCGCTGCTGGTGATCAGAGCGCCCTGGGCGGAGGAGCAGACCACCTGGCCCTTCTCCTCGCAGGCGCCGAAGGACTGGAAGGCCTCCGCCTGAGCTTGCGGGTGGGCTTGCGGCTTGGGGCGGGCTTGGGGAGCTTCAAAAAGGCGAAGTCTTAGATGCCCGGAAAGCAAGGGGGTCGCAAAAAGCAAACCAGACCAAACGTGGAGGCCATGCAGTTTTCGAGAGAATTGAAGACCGAACCAGTTTAGACCCAAGCTTTGAGGAGACCAAACCACCTACCATGGTCATGAAGGTAGGCCGAAGGGCCTGGCAGTAGGGCTTGGAGTCCAAGGAGGGCATGGTTGCGCCTACGGAGGTGACCCACTCCGAGGTGCCTCGGTTGCTTTCTGCGAAGCCCGGCCAAAAGTTGTTTTTGTGTGTGTGTTTGTTTTAGTGGTTCAGTTCGGAAAACGGCTCCAAAGTGGGCAAGAAGTTACCAAGTCCTTTTTGTCCCCTGGCAACATGCGCCCAAGTGGCCGACGAGGTCCGGCAGGAAGTCGCAGTCCGCGCCCACCGCAGAGTTCCCGTTGTCCCCGGAGGCCACCAGCACCGTCAGGCCCCTACCAAAAACCGACCAAAAACACCGACCGCACCGGTGACCTCATTTCGTTCGGAGGGGGGGGGGCAACCTCGTCGTTTCTTCAAACCAAGGGGGTCCATTTGGCTTGTTTGCGTCTCCGGGTGCCCTCGTCTTCTCTTCGAAAAGGGGTGAATTTGGCCACCTTGCAACCTTTTGTTGAGGGTCCGGCGCCCTTTCTGGGGTTGAAAAAGGGAAGGGTCACCACACTTCTGGGGAGTTCCCTCGGCCAAACGACAAAACCGAACATCCGGTGTCGAAATTGCAGGGCGGCTTTGGGCCCCAAAATGGAGGTTGGCTCTCGTTTGGGCGTCCTGTTGAGCAAGTGTGAAAAGAGTGCGCTCAAACAATCTCAAAACACACACTCGAAAGTAGGAGATCCGAATTTCCCCAAGCCAAATATGATGGTTTCAAGGGGAACGGCGGAAACTGCAAGTGGCCACATGCGCCCAGCCTGAGCGCAAGCTTCATGAGTTCGTAGTCCAGGCGCTGGATGAACATGGGAGGATACAAGGCCTCAGCGTCCCCCCAGCTGATGCTGTGCACCAAAGGGGGCTCCGGGTGGTCGTTCACGTCAGTGGCGTAGGCCAACATGAAGCCGTCCATGGCCAAAGGGTCCACAGCCCACCAGGTCGTCTTGGCCTCCGCCAGGGACGTGATGGTCTGCAGGTCCAGGGAGCCCTCGCCGCCCGTCTCCGTGTTGTCCACCTTGCCACGGGGGCCGTGCACGTGAATCAGGGGAAACGCCTCGCTCAAGCCGTAGGCGCGGTGCAGGTGCGTCACATCCTCCTGCAAAAAGGCCTCGTGGTTGAACTGGGCCACCGCTTGCGTGGCTTGCTCGGCGGCAACACGCTCAGGAGGCACCTGAATCACTGAAGCTTCCGCAAATGGCAAAGGACATGGACAAGCTGTGTGAGTCCCAATTACAGAGCTTCTCTGGTTTCCGTGCTTGAAACTCAGTGAGCTTCCCATGTCCCCCAACTCAAAACCAGAGTTGGCCAAAGAAAACAAGCCGCCTTACCATCCCATTCTTCAGGCCAAGGCCTCCAAGTCCTGATACAGCGCTTCCAGGGATTGGATCTTCCTGGGCAGCACCGTGTCGGAGGATTCCTCGCTGGGCGTGGTGCTCCACACCTTTTGGCACCGCCGCCCCAGCCGCCGGTCCCTGGGACCGTCGTCCTCTTTGCTCCGGGGCGGCTGGCACTCGCAGCCCGGCTGGCCCAAAGGCGCCAGGGCGATGGAGCCGTTGTTGAAGCAGGCGAAGATGTCGCTGACGGGGCGGAGGTTCTCCAAAGAGTTCACCTCCGCCAGGAAGTGCCCCGAGTCCGCGCGGAAGTCCTGCCGCTTCAGCAGCCGGTTCTGCAGCAGGCCGTTCTGATCAAAGGTGAGCTCCATGCTGTGCCAGGACTCGTTGAAGGTCTGGTTGCTGCAGAAGATGGCCATCCCCCCGCTGCGGGACAGCGCCCGCATTTTCGGGCGCCTGGTCTTGTTGTGCTTCTCCGCGCGCACCAGCCGGTCCAGCGCCTGCAGGGTGTGCACTCCCCGGCGCCGGCGCTCCTTCGGCGGCGCCAGGCCCAGGTCGGTGTTGTTGACGCCCAGCAGCCGATTCGGCTGCGAGCAGTGCCACTGCGCCTCGCTGCGCAGACCCAGGCCGGAGGAATCCCGCCAGCAGATCCACCCGGCGAAGTCCCCTTTGCAGCGCGCGCGGCCGCTATCGGAACGCTTCTCGGAGTCTCCTTTGGAACTGTTCTTGGAATCCGCGACATCGCCCTTCCGCTTCTCTTTGGACTCTTTCTCCCACTTGCAGGGCCTCCTACACTGGTCCTGCGCCAAATGGTGGCAGAAGCCATCCGGCATCGGGGGCGTCACCAGCAGATGCACCGCCTGGGGCCAGTGGGCGTCCATGGCCGCGCCCAGCTCGTAGGTGACGAAGAAGTCCTGCACTGTGGCCACCACCGCGTCGCCGTGCGCCACCACCTTGGACGACAGCGCGCCCCCGCCTGGTGACGGGCGACGCGGCAAGCGGCGTCTCTTTGTGCAAGACACCTTCCCGGTTTCAAGAGGCAGAATCACCAAACGAACTCAACCTACCCCTAGAGAGAGAGAGAGAGAAATTCCCGAACCTGCGCTTTGTCCGACCATTTCTCGACTTCATGTTCATGTAACCATGCCCTTCATCTTTCATCGTCCTTTTGCCCCTTCGGAGACAAACCTGGCGGCAAACAAATTCCCAGGCCCCGGACATCATTTCGGTCGGAAGAAGACACTCAGAAGGGTTCCCAAATTTCATAGCCATCGACGCGGGCGGAGGTCCCATGGCTCCAACTCCATTCCCCATAACACGGAAACTGGAAGAAATCAATCGGGAGATCCCCATTCGAAATCCCCGCTCCTTTCCCCACCCCTCCTCTTTTTCCACATTTTTCACTCCCACCCCCCCCTTCCCTCCCCCCACCTACGCTCCGTCTCAGGTGCTCCAAAGCCCCCTGCGCGGCCTGCGCGGTGCCAATGGCCTCCGCCAGCTGCGCCTGGCTGAGGTAGCGCCCGTAGGCGGCGTCTGTGGGGTCCGCCACAGCACGCGCCAGCGCCTGGAGCGGCCGCCAGCGGGCCGCGTCCATCAGAAAGGCCCCCACTGTGAAGTTGTAGCTTCGCGCCTCCAGATTTTTGAGCGCGGCGAGAGAGGGAGCCTTGGGCTATGGGGGAGGGGCTATCCCGTAGCCCCTTGAGGCCTTCTGACAGACGGTGGATGGACAAAATCCATTTCGCACCACGAAATGAAACCGCGGTTGAAACCATAAGGTTGGTTGGTATTTACGTTGGGGAATCGAATCATTCCAGGGTGTCTTAGGTGGTGCAGGATTTCGTCCATCCATAGTAGGGAGCGAGATTGGAGAGGTTACACTTGTGGCCAGGGAGGCAAGAGGTAGGCGCCTCAGAGAGACAGAGAGAGAGAGAGAGAGAGGTAGGGAGATTGGGGAGGTTAGACTTGCGAGGGCCGGCAGGGAGGCAGGCAGGCCGCTAGAGTTGTCACAGTTCACTGTTGCCCGAAAGCTGATGGGTTTACTGGTTCCAATGAAACAAATAAAAGCCCAGCATCGGCCCAAAGTTCATTGCTCGGAACCTCCCATGTGAGAGAAGCCCTCCCAAACCTGCCTTGGGACTGGAATGATTGGAAGCCGAGTTCTCATTGGACGTCCCATGACTCTCCGAAAGCAGCGCCAGCAACGGCCAGAGCCAGCGCCAGCTCAGGCCGTTGGCCCGAGCCATCGCAACCGCGTAGTCAACTTGAGCCGTCCGCACATGCCGATGCCCATGCCACCACACATGACACACATGGCTGGGGGTCAAACATGGGTACTGGTAAATGGAAACACGGACTAAAACCCAAGGTTCACATCCTGGTGGTTTGCAGTTTGAACCACACCCACATGTCGGCACTGACTGCACCAAGCGCCTTGACACCTCTGAACGGCCGAAACGAGTATTCCCTCGGCACGTCTGCGTCTTGAACGGCACCACCGGATCCACGTTGCCGGCAGGGCCCATGGTACCGCTCTCCAGCAGAGGCTTCTCGTACTTGATGCACTGGTCGTCCACATAAAAGCGCGCCTCTCGCTCGAGGCCAAACAAGTTGTCCCCTCCAGAACGCAACAGGCACCGTCAAAACAGGTGTTCGGCCCAAGGACATGGGGAAATGCGTGACTTTCCTGGTTTTCTGGGAAGTTTAGGAGCGTCCCCTGCTGCTGCTCCCAAACTAGCCATGCCCCCGAATATTCCTGCCACACTGACCATGAATCGACTCGATATTTTGAACCTCCCATGCGCAACATCCGCAGCCTGGCCTCCATGTTGTCCAAAGCGTTGCAAATACCATCCAACGACAGCCAGAAGTCATCGTTGAAGCTATCCTCCCAGTTGTCGGAGCATGTACCGACCACATCATTACGCTCGCAGGTTGCTAAAGCATCAGTCAGTCTGCCCATGCGGCGAGCCTCAGTCTTCGGCCCCACAAACATTTCCAGAGCTCGGACCTTGGTGCGAGGCGTGCCGAGCACGGGCCATTCAAACAGCTCAGATGACCGAAGGAATATTCCCCCCCTCCCCGAGAAAAAAAAATAAGAAGAAAAGAAAAAACAAAGGGGGAAAAAACGCAGGCCGGGGTTCGGGCTTTCATGCCGGGGTTCATGACCTGGCGCAAGGGTAGAACTTGGCTTTGCTTTGCAGCGTCTCCCTGGCTTGGGTGGTTAAAACTTGGCGTGTCCCCAAATGATTCTCCCAAAATTGACCATGCACCGCCTGGTTATATGGCTGTGGGTCAAAACTGGGTATCCGAAATGGAAGTGCAAACATGGACCAAAACCAGCGGTCCATATCCTGGTTTCATTTTGACCCAGACCCATATATTTTGACCCACAGTTTTGAGGGGAATTCCCCAAGGTAACACCAACCCCATGCACCCCTGGACATATTTGGCCAACGACGCCGGATTTTCCCGAAGCGAACGCCGGATCTTTCTTCGCGCCTGTGCCATAGCAGTCGCGGCCTTGCTCTTGGGCTGTCCCACGTTGTGCTCCCGGAAAAGGAACCTCGAGCCAACGTGACGACGTGACGTGCCCCATTTGAGGCCCCATTTGAGAGGCCGTGAGTCAGATCGAGCCGAAACGGGGGCTACTCAAGGTACCCCAGAGGGTGCGGAGAATACCCAAAGAGTTTTGGGGCAGAAAGCCGCGCGCCATGTATGGTAACTGCACCCAGGTTTGCCGGGCTCGGATTGGCAAACCCTGGAAACCGAATCCCAAGCCCCAAGCTGTCGGGTGAGATTCGACAGCTCGATTCGGTCGGCGTCCGTGACCTTGGTTGGCCCCAGTCCGTTGGCTGAGTGCGACCAGCCCGATGTGACACCCACCGGTAAGTGCGCCACTGTCAGCAAGCCGTCCGGGCCGCAGCAAACGCCGTTGAGCGCAAAGTTCTTCAAGAACCTCAACTCAGAGGCCTTTCTTTGAAAATCGAGGAAAAGAGCGTTGTGCCTAAGGCAGCCAAGCTGCTCGCAACCCAAAGCACCGCAGCCAACCATGAAATACCTGAAACTCAAAGTATCCAGCCGCAACCGACCTGCGCCTGCCTTTCGGAATGCCTCGTGCCTTTGCACTGTCGGTGGCGCACTTGAGACTCTGCAATTTCTTGATGAACGCATGGCCGTAGACAGACGCCAGCGCATCGTACCTGGAAAGCATGGCTGCGACAGCACTCCCGAACAAGTCGACATCAAGGCAGCGAAATGTTCAAGCCAACCTAAACAAGAAAGCGAAAAGCACGTGAAAAGCAAAGTCAGACATTCGGCAACAGTTGACAAACGGCACAATTCAAAGGCGAGAAACTAAGAAAGCGGAAACACAGCTGCGAGAAAACTCAAACACGCACGGAGAAAGAACACGGACCCACCCCCCCCACCCCCACGTCCAAAACACACCTCAGTTTTGGAGAGTGTTTTGTGGGGTGTGCCCTCTTGGGGATACTGACTGGGACGGGGCGAATGCCTTGTTTCAACCGCGGTTGGTGGTTTGCTCTTCAAATCCAGCACCAGCCCATGCCGCGTCCCCATAGTTCCTCCTCATCACCCCATCAAGAGAAAGCACACTTAAATTTGCAATGGCCCCACGAGGTGATGTCTCAAACCACCAAAAGCTGCAATTGTGGATCAAGTCCTCACCAAGAAATCGAGCACCATCAAGAAGCAAAACACAAAAAACATGGGTGGCTTTTTGCGAGGACCAAACAAAACCTGCGGGCCAAGTCCGCACCAAGAAAGGGGGGACACCCTCCAAAAAAAAAAACAAAAAACGCCACACACGCAGACACACCGCACACACGTCGACGCGGCGTGCTTCCCAACATTTGGGGTCACCGGTTGTTCAGCGGCTGCGCGTCAGTGGGGACCTCCGCAGGCAGCGCCTCCACGGCGTTGAAGTGCAGCCACCCGGGGATCGGGGTGAACTTCCCGGCCACCTTCACCACCTGCGCCGGCGGGGGCGGGGGGAGGTGTGGGCTGGGGTGGGGGGTGGGGTGAGGTAGGGGGGGTCGGGAAGGGGAAAGGGGGGGGGAAACGTCGGGCAGCTTCACCTGGTCAAGCCTCACCTGAAGGATCAGGGTGCACTCCAACCAATGAACATGGACACTGGAAACATCGTTTTACGAGGGGAGGTGGCGTCTACCGGTTTTCAAGGCTTCTTGTGTGAACGAATTCAGGGCCTACGCACGAGAAGACAAAGACCATCAGGTTTGGAGAAGCCTCGTTGCGCGGAAGCCTCTTTTTTGGGGGGCACATGCTAATTGGCGAATATCCTTAGTTAGGGGCTTGATTAGCGGCTAGCACGGCTCAGACAGCAGCCCTTTCCATAGGGATTTGTCTCAACACAGTGGAAACAACAAGGATGGATGGATGGATGGATGGATGGATGGATGGATGGATGGACGGACGGATGGACAGATGGACGGATGGACGGATGGATGGATGGATGGACGGATGGATGGACGGATGGACGGATGGACGGATGGACGGATGGACGGATGGACGGATGTATGTCTGTATGTCTGTCTGTATGTATGCATGCATGCATGCATGCATGCATGTATGTACCCAATTATTTCTATATATATATACATACCTACATTGCTGGCCATGCTTCTGTCTCTTGCCCTCTGCGCGAGCACAATCAAACAACACAGCAGAGGCCCAAAGCCCGATTCAAGGCTTCAGGGAATGCTGTCACTTCGACAGCAAGAGCATGCACTTCTACATGTAAATAGCCTTTACATGGCACGTATGGGTCAAAATTCACTGGGGGGCCGCAGGTTTTAATCCATGTTTCCATTTCGCAGGGCAACCCATTTTGCCATCTAGTAGCATGTGTGATTCGGGCACGAGCCTGTGCCCAGGCAATGGGTAAGTTGGGGTAAACAAGCCACAAAAGAAAGGTTCCCCAAAAGCAAACCAATCCCCGGTCCCAAAGATCAGGGTTTCCCACACACCAGAGAACAACAACCAAAAGTAAAGTACCAAAGCAAGTAAACGAGTACCCGCAACCTTGGTCGACGATGAGCCGCACGGGCGGACCCCACCAATCTGCCCCGGGCCGATGTCTCTTTCTCCACCGACACGAAGGTGATCGACGCGGGGACCCGGCGACGCTCATCCGAGGCGCGACGGACCCGCAAACTTGAGCCAAACACCACCGGTCAGTCACTATCGCGACATCCCTGGTGATGAGTCATGGCTAATCACACCCCCCTCACGAGGAGCCCGTCATATGACGGGTGGAGCGTGCCATTTACTGATAGGATTTAACTGCTCGCATGCGTCCGCAAACAGCTGGACACTACCGCCGTCAGCGGTGGAGCAAACCCACAAAGGCAGTTGCGCGACATCCCGGGCATTAAATTCCCGCCACCACCCCGAATTAGTCGGGGTAACGCTGTCCAACATACCTCGTGGAAGAGTCCACATGACGACACTAGGCCACAACTGTTTGCATCAACAATGCAAGTAGTTCAATTCTTATCAGAAGCCATGAAACAAAGGATAACGAATGTTCATCAGTACCCTCGCCTATCGGCAAGAGGTACCCTTGACCATGCGGGAGTACCCTCCACCAGCTTGCATCCCCTCTCACTCACACTACTTCATGATGAGCATGACCAGCAGCCGAGCAGCGGTGCGGGAGAGACATGATCTCCGCGCCTCAGCGGTTCGGAAGGAACATCATCACCTCCGCACCGCGCCAACCATCGGAGAATGGACGCAAGCCTATCGGCCGCAATCCCCGTGGCTCAGCCTATCGGCTATCGTCACGTCTCCTCCGGTCACGTCCGCCCCGCGCACGGTCCCTGTCACGATCCCTCTCGGATCTCCTGCGATCATCTCGCCTTCGATCTCGCTCTCGATCGAGCGAATCATCACCACGACGATCTCAAATATCGTCCCTTCTTCGGTCTCGATCTTCGTCACGCCGCGGTCGATATCTGCGCCTTCTCGATTCTCGGGAATCCCTGGTGTCCAGAGTCCTAACGGACCTCCGAGAAGGAGTACGGGAAACATCCGAATCCCGACGCCCTCGCCCGAGGCGAGAGTTCGCCACTCCAGTGCTGAAGCATTCTCGCCATTCCTGATGAAATCTCTGACCTGCTTATTAAGCACCCTATCGGGTGACATCGTCAGGAAGGCATCCACCACCGAACTCTCCGGCAACACCAGGAAATGACCCTCCGCCGAGCTCGCAGCAGCTCGCTCCGCCGACTGCAATCTGACCTCACCCCCTTCAGGCTTCTTCGCCATCGCCTTGGAGGCTGTCAAGGGCGCTACCGCGTCCTTTGCCGAAGACCTACCAAGCGCGGAGTGAAGATCATCTCCACTTGCCTCTCTCGCTGCCGCGCCTGCCCTTCTGTCGACATCATCAGGTCTCGTTGATGCCTCCCGCTTTGTCGACTCCTTCACAGGCTCATCCGGATCCCAGCGGGACTTCCTTTCTCTCTTCTGCCCTTCAGCCGAGCCTCGACTAGCGCCGGGAGCGTCCTCTCCGCTTTCTCCTTCTCGACTTCAACCTTCGGGTCAGCTTGCTTCGTCTCCTTAGACTCAGCCTTCGGAGCCTGAGCACTCTTCGCCTCAGGAACTGAAGCTGCCTTTCCCTTCGGCTCGGCCTTCGGGACTGGAGTCATCTTAGCCTTTGCACTTGGCCGGGCTCCTTCAACCGCTATCGCGACCCAAGTCTTCTTCGGTTGAGCCGCAGGTGGATCAACCTCCATTGGAGCCGGCCCAGCATCGGCCTTGGCTTTTCCCTTCGGAACGGCAGGGCTATCGCCCTTACCAGACCCTTTTCCTGACACATCGCTTGACTTTGGTTGTGGGTCGGAAAGACTATCGCCCTTACCGCCCTTTTCACCCTTCTTCCCTTTTCCTTTCCCACCCTTGATGATCGGCTCCTGCTTCGGACCAGGACCCTGTGCAGCATGATGCACCGACTGGAGCTCGTCAACGTTCACACTCAACGGCTCCGGTTGACGACCATCAAGAACCGTTCTCACCCTATCGTCACTAACGTAGACGAATGGGTCACGGAAAGGGGCAGGAGGCTCTTGATTGCCTTCTGCACTTTGGCTACTGCCTCCCTCAATCTTCTCTTCTCGTCGTACCCCGTCGCCGAGACCATGTAGATCCTGAGATCCGCCATCAATGCATGGCTAGCCAGGATGTCCACGTCCTTCCTGTGGGTCGGATACATGGGAAGCAGGTGACCCTCGGGATATAGAAGGCCAAATACGTGTCATGACGGGCGAGCTTCCTAACGGAAGTCGTCATACGTCTTCCCCACTGGGCCGCATGCACCGGATTCGCTCGGAAGTACTCAGTCACCGACTCAAATCTATCGACTTGGTTGGTTTTGATCAGGTGCTTTGCCACCCGCTTCTCCACGAATGCATCCGAGGCCGAAATCCCCGACACGTAGGAAAACTGAAAGAGCACCTTTGCCAGTTCATCCCACGCCGCATCAACTCCACCCTTATCCTCCCCGAGATAAGGAGGCAATCGGATGCCGCTCTGCACCGTCATCCTCAGGTCAGACGCCATCGAGTAGGAAATCAAGTTCCTCTTGATAACCCCGACCACATCGGAGGCGATCCTCTTGGGCTTGAACTGTCCCATGCTCTTCACCCAGTCCGGGACGATGCGGCTCCCCGCGAAGTCCTCCTCGTCCGCGTTGGGGATGAAGTTCGAGTAGAAGACCGGGAGTGCACATCCAGGGCACAAATGCATCCCAGATGGTGTTATCTCCGCGCACCTCAAACAGAAGGTGCCGGTCACATTCAACCTGACTTCCACACGCGCTCGCTTGTGAGTCCCCCTATCGGGTGTGAAGTCACCGTAGTCCCAAACCCGATGATACACTATCGTGTAATCATCGAACATGTACGCGGCCTTCCACGCACCCATGTGGATCTCGTCCCGAACGGCAAGAGTTTTTTTCTCCTCGTCAGAAACACAGGTCCAACCAGCGACCAATGTACCCGAAGGTCCACCATGACCACCACGTACCTACCCGAGTAGTTCCGCAGCCTGTCCCTGACGTACCACGAAGGCGATACCTCGGCATCTGGTCGCATAGCCTCCATAATTGGAACCAGGCCCCCATCCGGTCTCCCATCTCCAATCGATTCGTACTCGTCGGGCCTTGTGATCAATATCTCGATCATGGCCTTTCCATTCCGCCTCACCTTTTGGAGTTGGACCGCCTTCCTGATGAAGTCCAAGAACTTCATCACGACGTATCCCACCATAGGGAGTTCCCCCCAGTGCATCTCATACATCAGAGACCCGCCAGGAGCATCCCCTTGAGTGTACCTTTGCCTTGCGGCGCTGAAACTCATGTCCCGTCCGATCCGCGTGAACCTAACGGCCACAAACCTGGTGTATTCCTTGAGGAGGATGCCAGTCTCGTCATACATGAGCATTAGCATAACCTCAACTTGCCCTATCGGGAAAGCCTTGATCGCCGGAATGAAGAATTTCCACGACATCTCAGCGTTCTCCATTCCCGTGATTTCCTTCAGGAACCAGACGGCTTGATCAACATTCACCCAGTTTCCAGCCTCCCGCCCAGTCTCCTTCAGCACCTTCTCCTCGAATAACTCCGAGACCCTCTTCGAGTTAATGACCAAACCTTCAAAGTCACACGTGAGCAGCTTCATCAAAGCCTGGGCGGCCTCCCGCCCTGCGATCGTGGCCGCGGTCTGGTCGTGCCCGGAACGTACGCGCTCATCCTACTCTTCGTGGGGACCACAATCTGACACGTCCTAGCCTCATCAGGCACAAGTCCAGCAGATCGCAGTTCCGGTCTGATCGCCTGCCTATCGGCAAGATAGTCCTTCTTCCCGTCCAAGACCACGAGATTGTACGTCATCTTGCTGGCCGCATCACTCGGGCGGAATTTCCTGCTCACGTCAATCTGGTCGGGGGCGAAGGGCTCGATGGGAGCAGTCGCGCTCAACGATGCTTCTGGGTGTGTCCCTATCGGGATCATCACTCCTGCGATCCTGACCTGCTGAACCTGCCTCAAATTCCTCGAAGTTGTAGTCCGGCAAGTCCTCACCTGATCGGAGACCACCTAGGATAGCCTCCTCATCCACGACACTCCTATGAGAGCGTGGGGTCGACGTCATTGAGCTTGTAGTTGATGGTCTCAAGCGCGTAGGAAAGTCCTACGGCTGATAACCTGTGATTCGGCCACGAGCCTGTGCCCAGGCAATGGGTAAGTTGGGGTAAACAAGCCACAAAAGAAAGGTTCCCCAAAAGCAAACCAATCCCCGGTCCCAAAGATCAGGGTTTCCCACACACCAGAGAACAACAACCAAAAAGAAAGTACCAAAGCAAGTAAACGAGTACCCGCAACCTTGGTCGACGATGAACCGCACGGGCGGACCCCACCAATCTGCCCCGGGCCGATGTCTCTTTCTCCACCGACACGAAGGTGATCGACGCGGGGACCCGGCGACGCTCATCCGAGGCGCGACGGACCCGCAAACTTGAGCCAAACACCACCGGTCAGTCACTATCGCGACATCCCTGGTGATGGTTTAAGTCATGGCTAGTCACAGTATGTTATTGGGATACCCCCACTAACACGCACCTGACAGGGGGTCCCTACAGGAAATTGATCTTCCAGCTCCCACAGACGCCTTCTGTTGGAGGGAGGGTGTCTGACAGCTTTCGTGTTCCGGTCCGGCCTCCTGAGCACAAATGCCTCCCAGAAAGGCGCAGAGGGGCTGCAGCGGCGTGTGGAAGTGCCGCAGGAACTGGCGCGGCGAGAACTCGACGATTCGAATCCGACGAAGCCGAAGATTCGACGAGCGAAGAAATCCCCCGGGCCTTGGCTGCGAAGGTGTCGTCCACGTCCACCTGAGACATGAATGGGGATACAAGGGTGGGTCCCTGAAGTGATTGGACATGGGATGAGTGAGGTTCAATGAGCCAGGGACAATCGGGCCTGTTGAGCCTTCAATAATACACTGCACGGGATATGCCAAAATCCGCACAAACACATTGACCTTAGCCTTCCGGCCCATTCTTTGAGCAATGCGCACAGCTAAGCCGTTTGGGATAGTTCGAAAGAATCAAGTGGCTGCCGAAATCCCCGTCCTCCACGTCGGTGGTTTTGGACGACATGAGCTCCTTGGCCTTGCTCACAACCGCAGCTACCTGGGCTTTTCAATCAACTGGCTGACACTTGAGGCTGTGTCAAATCTGGGGAACTTCTCCAAAAAAAGTAGACTTCATGTTGTTTGTTTGGTGTCCTTTCCTTCTGAACCTAAAAGTTGCTGCAGGTTTGAGGTGTTGGCATCCTGTCTGCGACGAACCGAAATGTTGTTGGCAATTGAAGGTGTTGATACACTATCTGGGATCAAAGGATTACGGCATACGGCCGCACTCATCGCACACGCTTCTGGGTCAACACATCAACGTTCATACGTTCTAATTGACCCCTTTGGTCTTTGGTGAAGATCAGTTCATCTCCACCAACCCTTATGGAGCGTGTTTCCTATTCAGCTTCATACCCATAGAATTATTTGCTGAGGCGGCTGCATCTGCTTCGCTGACCTCTTTTCCGGTCTCAGCCTGAGGCCGATTTCTGGGCGAGGAGATGCGCACTGATGCCTTCCAACGTGCAGCTCTCATTTGGCCATGGGTCAAAACCCCGTACCCCCAGTGACCCCACTAAGGTAGATTAAAATGGGTGGTGCACCTATCCCAAAATGGTACCATTGGTTTTGAACCATGACCATTTATTTTCTCTCTCCCTCTCTCCGCGACGGCCACTTTTGCTCTGGCATGCTGCGGCCATGTCAACGTGCGCCAAAGCTGACACCTGCCCTTTCTGATTTTCTGATGCAATGCAGGCGTTGCGTCTTTGCTGTAAGACATTCGGCTCTTTTGTGTTTGCAGCATTTCGTGCGGAAGATGCCTCAGGTGCTGCCTGAATCCTGGCAGAGTCATATTTCTCAGCCCAAATTTTCAAGGCCGAAAAGGCCTGGCCGCTCGCGCGCTAAATCATCGCCGAGTTCTGGTGGAGATTCCAAGCAGCCTGAGCATGGACCCGATAGGAGCCTTGACCAAGGCCCAAGTTGGGCTAACCCCACTTCCCTGGCTCAAAGTTCAGCGTGCTGAAATGTCCTTATATGAGGGATTCACAGAAAAAGGGCTCCCTCATCAGCACTTTTCACCGAAGTCCTGAACCCTCCCAAAAAGAACTATGGAGCCAGCTCCACTCCAGCTCCAGAGCATTCACGCCCAGGGATCCGGATGCATACACCTGAACATGGCCTTGTAAATGGTGGTGCCCCTCTATTTTGGTGTTGAAAAAGCCACGTTTCAAATGGTTGCAAAAGGTATCTTTTCAGGAGCCCTTGCTGAACTGGAGCCGGTCGAGAGGCCTGCACCTTGGGCGCGTAGACAAACTCGAACTTGCCCGGAAGGTGCCCGGTGATGGCTGTGAGCTCCTGCACGCCTGCGGCGTGCACGATGCCGATGAGGCTGCCTTTCCAGATGGGCTCCTGCCAGCGTACAGGGGCCCCCAAAGATCAGGCAGTGATGGCTTTGGTCGCTGCCTTCTTCTGCACCAGCATGTTTAAAGCCTGCGCAAATGGCCAGAAATCACTCATTTGCGGTATTTGTGTTGTTCATGAGGCACTCTCGACCATCAAGTGTGTGTAATGTGAGCTACTTGGGGAACCTGCTCCACGGACATGTCACGACTCTGTCCTGCCAAGGCATCGCATGTTGCTTCCAAAGGCTTCTGCGACCCGGCATCAAATTTGAACATGCAGTCGCAAAGCGGCCAATTCAGGTGTCC